TCTATAATATTTATTATATATGCTTGAAACCATTCATCCAAAAAAATTAAATCCCCTAGCTAATTTAATTTGAAATATATTTGATAACCTTATTTCAATATAATTTCAATAACCAATTATAACCTCAAAAAAATTTATTGTTACTAGCCCTAAAACAAAAAATTTATTCTTACTAGTCTTAAAACAAAAAATTTTACAAGAAAATCAATAAAAAGAAACTAAAGGAAAAAAAACCAAAAAAAAAAAAAAGAAAACAAAAAATAGAGAATTAGATAAATCAAATTGATCATTTGTTTAAAAAATAGCATATCAATTTAAATATAAAAATTAAAATACAAAAATAAAAAAAGTTTAAAAAATCAAATATAATCGACAGCCACAATGGCTGTCGAATATATTAGCTATAATCGACAGCTATTTCTGTCGATTATGGCAAGTATAATCGACAGCCACAATGACTGTCGATTATATTTAAAACCCATCCATTCCCCTCAAAAAAATTAAATCTCCCGGTTAATTTAATTTGAAATATATTCGATAATCTTATTTCAATATAATCGACAGAATTTCTGTCGAATATATTTTTATTATATAAGGGTTTGAAAATCAGAATATCCCATTGTCTTCTTTTCTTTTCTTTCTCACAAGCCGTCCCAGTTTTTCTCCTTCTTTCTCCTTTCTCCTCCTTTCTCCTTCTTTCTCACAAGCCATCCCAGTTTTTCTCTCAACTTTTTCTCCTTTTATTTTTCATTTTTCTTTCATCTTTTATGCTCTCCCATTTGTATTTTTGTAAATATCTCTAGTTTTATTTTAGTTTTCCTTTATACTTATTCCATTATTTTCTTTTGTTGACAGTCCATCATCTTCTTTCTCTTCATCCTTCTCAGTCAAAGCATTTTTTTTTATGCATCATCCAATTGCTTCAATTTAGTTTAAATTAAGAATTTTTATTATTTGATATACTAATAGTTCCTTTTTTTGTGTGCAGATTTTAATACAATAATTATGAAGTAATTTTTCTTTTAAATTTGATTATACTCTTTATTTTCTTTTCTTTTAATAAAGTTATAATGTGTATCAATGCAATTTTTTTTCTTATTTTTGGCAGGATATTGATAAAAAACTAATTAAGGTTAGAATTCTTATTTTAGTTTTATTTATGTTTATCTACTATTTCTTATATTATATTACTCTTAAAATTATTTCATAAATATATTGTTGGGGGGTTTGAT